CTTCTTTGGGATATGGAGGGCAGGTGGAATCACGTTTCCAACTTGCTTCATTTCCCGGCTTGAATTGTCAGATTCCACTTAATGAAATAGCTGCGTTCCTGAAAAGTTGGCCGTAGAACAAATTCTGTTCAATGCATCATACTTCCTCATTGATCTTCATTTTTAAATTAAGGATGCATTTCCCTGAGGAAATAATTGGCCCCAAGACCAATATAAATTATACTAAACACTCAATAAACCTTTTTAAATTGCACATTTAAAGAAAGTCAGTGCTGTTAGAACATTAATAGTGATGATATGTTTAACGTCAGGAAATACAAATATTATGCTAAGAAGCTAAGAACAATTACCAGAAGTGGTGTTGTGGTGGGAATAGAGCCACGTGAGGATTAGGAGAGCAGCATGGAGTCCCTGGATTTTTTTTTTTAAATTAAGTACTTCTGAGCCTATCAATCCATCTATTAATAAGAATTTAACAAACTTCAAATTATGTAAACTATTTCCCTCGGTGTCTTGAGAGCCAGGATGTGCAAGACTCAGTCCTGCTGAGAGAGGGTTTCAATTGCACTGGAAAATAAGACGGTGAATATAGCAAAAACCATCTGTGGATTGGACATCGGAGAGCTGGTGTGATCTGGCACTAAACCGACACGGGCTCCTCTGAACTGTAGTTGCCCACATGAACCATACAGGGATTGAACAAAATCACTAATTTCCTAACTTGACTATATATGAGAATTTCCTGGTAAAATTATTAAAACTCCTCATTCCAGGACATTTTGTAGTTATGGTAGGATCTAGAAATCTATATTTAAATAATTCTTCTAGGTAATTCTATTGAATCAGACTATGCCCTAGCATAATAACAATAGGATTATATAACCTTCACTGATGCTTTGAGCTCTTTAGTTGAATATTTTCATGATTCTAAAGACAAGACAAACTCTAGATGAACTAGATGAACTCTACACTCAGACAGCCATAGGCACTGGGAATTGGGAGAGAGCCAGGAGTGTATTTGTTTCCTAGGGTCCACAGGAAAGTAACAAAGAGGAGGTGGTTTACACAATAGAAATATCTCCCAGTTCTGAAAGCCAGAAGTCCAAATTCAAGGTGTCAGCTGGTCCATGTTCATAACCGGAGCACACATGGTGTTTAAAGGAAAACTTTGCTCAAATCATTGACTCTTATAAATTCAGATTTTGGTTTAGTTTGTTTTGTTTTGTTTTTTTCTTGGCTTATTTGTCTTAGGCATCCCCTTTAGGAACCTCATTTCTGGTGCTTCATAGTTGAATTTGTTATGTATATACTGACTCTCTTTCTCTCTAGTTTTGCCATCTTTGGTTTTAGTAGAGAAACAATGTATGTGAGGAGAAAGTTGAAAATAATGGCAAGGAAAGCTAAAATATATAAAGCATGTTTCTATGTATGAATTAGTTTTCACATACCTTACCCAATTGAGTCAGAGAGTGCATGAAATTGGTGAGTAATGGAGTCATTGTGGTGTTCCTGTAATTCTACACTTGGTTTGGGGAACACAGGATAGTAAAGTTAAGCCTCATTGTTTTCCGCATGATGACCTAAGTGTAGATTCCTTCCCCGTGGTAATACAAATCTGGACCTTCCCCAAATCGTAAGCTCTCCAACTTCCTTCACTACGTAAGATTGCCTGATAGAAATATATAAAATTACACACATCTTCACAGAAAATGTGATGACTTCTTGATTGTGACTACCCTAATATCTGTGACCTTGCATTTGTGTCTATGACTGTAATCCCCCTACTTGCTTCTCCCTTTGTATGTCCTTATAATGAGCCCATGCAACTGAGTCCCTGTATATCTTACTGGGGTCACACAAGAGCATATTTGGACAGTAGAATAAAATTAGATGTTTGGTCTCCAGGTGGAGAGAAGGGCGAGAGACCCAGAAAAACCTATGTAGTTGTGTTTCATTGCTTTGATGGTGCAGTACACAGCCTTCCCAGGAATCTGGGGTCCGACCACTGCTCAGACACGGAGCTCAGTCCAGAAACAGCTGTCCAGAACTAATTTATTTCCTAATGCTACGGCACTGTTAATTTATAAATTACACTGGTAATTCAAGCTATTATTAATTTCAGATGGTGTAGGGCAAGCCTAATTAAAATATGACATCAATTGCCACACATATGTACCAAAGACTACCATTTAAAATTAATGGGAATATTAAGTGTGACACTGGTCTCCGAGATGCTTTGCACAGTAATTATAGCATTCCGGCAGGGAAAGATCTGACAAATGTAGGCTCGGGCCTGGTAGCAAATAAACAACAAGATGAAAGGAATCACCAACTCTTCCTTTAAACCTTTGCTCCTGGTTTTCCTCATCCTTCCTCACATCAAGGCCAGTACTTTCCCCCCCCCTGAAGATGCTTAGGAAGCAAGAACAAAAGGCTACCATGACAATTAGAGAAGTTTCTTAACTGGTTTGGGACTGTGAGTTCCCATGGGTCAATGTTGAGTGTCTTTTCCACATCCTGAACTTTTTGACCCTGTTTTCTACTCATTACCATGTTCTTGGATCTTCCTGAAAATTTATGAGTCTTGATTGTCTCAGTAGCTACAAGCTGTTCTTTCGCTCTTGTGTAGGTAGCGGAGGCAAGAGTTCCCACACACATGTAGCGTGGGTTCCCTAGGTCATGCGAGTACATGAGGAAATGGCAACCTAATTGAGCGTATTACTGGAGGGTGGCACAGCGGGATCATGTCCAAGGAGTGGTGGCCGAGTTGGGCAGGTCGTGGCCCTTTTTCACAAGATGGTTGTTTTGTTATTGTTGCCATCCTTATCACTACTGTTGTTACATGGACAAAACAGCGACCTTCATGTCACATAACAAATACAACCATAACTTACATAGCACGTCTATCATTCTTTGTATTGTATCAGTTTCTCGCTGCTGTTATTTTCACGCTTTGGAGCAGCAGGTGCATGTGACATTATGTGGCAGTGCTATCCCCTGGAGAAAGGTGCTCCTCTCTTCCCTCCCTGCTCATGTGGAGCCATGCATGTTAATCTAGCTCCACTCACGGAGCCTGCGCCTCCGGGCAGATTACAGGAGTACGAGCTAAAGCAGGTGCACAGCACACGGAAGCTTTCAAAGTGCTTTCATGTTTGTGTGTGTTTCCATTTGTCACTCCCAACAATCCTCTGAGGTGTTGGGATTGTGTGTACATTCTGTCTGGGCAGATGTCTCAGTTGCTAGTGACAGTCTCAACTCATGCTGCTGCCCCATTGTCACTTTTTTATTATTATTGAGTTCAGATAGGAAGGGAGAGAGAGAGAGAAACATCAATGATGAGAGAGAATCATTGATCGGCTGCCTCCTGCACACCCCACACTGGGGATCGAGCCCGCAACCCAGGCATAGGCCCTGACTGGGAATCGAACCATGACCTCCTGGTTCATAGGTCGAAGCTTAACCACTGAGCCATGCCTACTGGGCTGGATAGTCACTATTAATAGCACCTCCTTATACTCTTCAAGGTATCCCAGTTCGCACAATGCATGTATCATCATGCTGGTTACTTCATTGAGTGGAAGAGGCCAGATACTTCCCTGGGAAGGAAGCAGTTACTTTTGTTCTCCATTGTCTTTCTTTGAGGAGGCGGGAACTGAGGGCAACAAGGGAGAAAAACAAGAAATGCATCTCCTAGGTTTGAATGTCATGGCCGTTCCATCATCAGATCCTTGCGGCCAGGCCTCTGGTGGGGAGTCCAGTAGGCAAGGGGTTAGTGTTATTATGCATGACTCTTCCATACAGAACTGATGCTGCTGATGATGAAGTGGCAGTGAGATCCGTACCTGTCCTCTTGTCCTTTCCTTTCTGCCATGTTTGTGATTAGAGCGTGGAGTCCCTGGTGTTGGCTTGTCTGCAGGATCTTATACCTAAGAGCTCTAGTAAATTGAAGTTTGGGAAATGGACTTTTGCCTATCAGTTGACTGTCTAGCTGTAAAAATAAATTAACTTTTATTTCATGAGTGTTCCCACTGTCTTTTGTGACGTTTGTGTGTGTAAGCTATTGTGGTATTTTTAACTGATACTGGTATGTGGTCTGGGATGTAGTCATTGGCTCTACTCCAAGGTTCAGTGTGAATGGCACCTGGAGTCAGAAAGAATTGAGATACACCTCAGGTGCCTTTCTCGGACCCAGAGCCAGAGGGCTCGGTAAGGTCAGGGCAGGTCACAGGTCTCTAGGCATTTGTTTAGTCCAGGTAGGAACACGGGCATCTCAGCTAGTCCTTTGGGGAGCTAAGGAGATGGTGGTGGTGGCTGTGGTAGGAGAAGGGAAGTGTGAATGCACACAGTGCTGAGGAATCTGAACTTGAAAGTGGCTGACATAACCAGGTCCTACGTTGGTTTCTAAGAGCATGCTTTTGCTGTTTTCTCTCCTGTGCTACCGTACCTTCTCCGGCAGCCGTGGGCTTTGTGAGTGAAGACGAATACTTGGAGATCCAGGGCATCACGAGGGAGCAGTCCGGGGACTACGAGTGCAGCGCCTCCAACGACGTGGCCGCACCCGTGGTGCGGAGAGTGAAGGTCACCGTGAACTGTAAGTGTTGTCATGGAACCCTCGCCCCGTGTGGATGGGAGGGGGGCTGCTGGCATGGCCACAAAAAAGAGATGGATACAGAGCCAACTCTTAGAGAGTGAATGGCATATGTGGCTTTTTAAAAATATATTTTTATTGACGTCAGAGAGGGGAAGGGAGAGAGAAATAGAAATATCAATGATGAGAGAGAATCATTGATTGGCTGCCTCCTGCCTGCCGAACCAGTAACCGGGGCATGTGCCCTTGATTGGAATGGAACCTGGGACCCCTCAGTCCACAGGCTGATGCTCCACCCATTGAGCCAAACCAGCGAGGGCGAAACATCATCTGTTTTCAGGTTTATGTCCATCAGATAAAAGCCAGCTAGTTGCTTGGGAGAAACATTGCTTTTCCTGGTCCTGAAACCAAGGGGAAGTTGATCTTTAGGGTCTCTACAAATAGAGCACCTTGAAATGTAGTCAACCACTTGCAAACAGTGTTTCTGTATTAAATAGAATGGCGTGTTTGTTACACCTGTGCTTCCCAGTGCACTCCCCTGCAAGCTGTTGGAATTGTCAAGCGTTGTTAGGGAAAACTTCAATTGCAAGTAGGCCAACTATATAGGTCTGGCTGGGTCTGGTGGATGCGGGAATCATTTTAGAAGAATCTAGAAGGATGACTGATCCGTACACCCTTCAGGCAATTCTCTATGAATATTATTCTTGCAACTGCGCTTTTGATGGGAATTGAATAGTATGAGGTTATATAGTCTGGCAAGAACCTGGTTTGCAGAAATTCTATGAGGCTGATTAAAACTGCTGACTGCCAACCCAGGGACTGGAGGGTTGATGGGTTGGCATCATCCTGTGCAAGTTAAAAAGTTTAAACAGAAAGCGGGCCTGCATGCACACCTGGTCACTCGCCTCCCTTCAGAAGGGGATAGCAGCATCCCACGCTGGGCAGACCAGGGTTTTCCTTAGAACTACCGCGAGTGGTTTGGTTCCTGCAGCACAATTTGTGTAGTGAATCTGTCCGCTCAAGGGAGCGCGGTAGATCAGAGAGTGAAAAATACAATCAGTGAGGGAGGCAGCGGCCTCGCTGGAGAATGCATTTTCAGATGCTACAGGGCGTCTTCTCTCTGCAGATCCACCGTACATCTCCGAAGCGAAGGGGACAGGCGTCCCCGTGGGACAGAAGGGGACCCTGCAGTGTGAAGCCTCGGCAGTCCCCTCCGCAGAATTCCAGTGGTACAAGGACGACAAAAGGTAAGGACCCCCTCCCTGCACCCCTCTCTCCCCCGCACCCAAAGAAGGCATCTTCTCCAGGTTCGTGGTTGCGAGGGAAACCCTGTGAATTTCTCCCTGAACTCCTCCTGCCTAGAAGGGGAGGCAATATACAACCACGTCTTTTCCTGGGATTAATGCATTTCAGCTATGTTTCCAACGTTGCCATGCATTGGACTAACCAGCCTGAAGGAAAACACTTTGTAAGGAAAGCAATACCTTACAGGAAGGGCTGCCAGGGGCATGGGAAGGCCTGTGGATTTCTCATAGGCCAAGAAAATAGTATGTTCGCCTGAAGCTCTTTCTAACACATTCCCGGGCTTGCATGAGGTGTTAGTAACGCTCCCAGGACCCTAGGAGTGGCTAAGAAGTTAGCTGGAGCTAGAGGTCTCGGTTCCGGTTCAGACGCTGTCAGGATTGGTGTACAGGAGTCCATGACCCTAGTTAGGCCTCCCTTTGTACCCAGGCTGTTGGTTCACTGTAGAAAAGAGAGAGGGCAGCGTTCCCTCCCCTCACATTGCCGCAGCCACCACCAGGACATTTGTTGTGATTCACTGGAGATGGTCATGGCGAGGAGCTAGCAAATGGCACGTTAGCCCGGGGTCAGAGGCTCAGTCCACCGGGCAGCACAATCACCGCTGTGAAAATCGCCATTTTAAGGTGGGGGAGCAACCAATAAAGGTGCAAGAACACTTTCTAGAAATGGGGAGGGGATGATGCAAAAGAGTCCTGAGGTGTATGTGGGGCTGAGAAGGAAGAAGGCGTTTCAGAGGCCGAGAAGCTGAGAAAGAAAACACCCAAGAGGTTGATGGGGAGGAGGAGAGCGGTGTGAGCCACTCCAGGCCAGGAGGGATCCAGCTGTTGCCCACGTGACATAGAACATCTTTATGGGCTTGTGTGTCTTTCTTTTGGGGGTCAGCCACCAGTCACACACCAAAAGCTCTTCAGGTCTCTGAATCGACCCTTGGTTTTTGTTTAGGACCAAGTCACTTAGTCATAAGATTCATTGTCTTATCATAATCCTTTCAAAGACACACAGTGTGTTTCCATTTTATTAAGTGCAAAAGACTTCAGTTACAAAGTCTTTGTACTGTATTCATCTAGCCCATTTTCTAGATGGAAGAACAGAGGCAGAAAGAGGGAAACAATCTCACAAAGAGATAAGATAAGAAGAAATAGCTGGCTGTCCCTCTTTTCCCAAGAATTCAGAATCAAGCAGAAGAGAGTAACTTTGTCTTTCTTAGAAATTCGGTTTCACTTGTCCCTCCCTCCCTCTTATTGAAGGATCTCCTATATGGATATCAAATAGCAGAAAAACACAGCAGCTGTGGAGCTCAGGGTCAGCTCCTCGGCCTTCCATTGTCTAGGTCTTCACCAAAACAAATCAGCTGCATCCTCTTTTTCTATTTTTATGGAGGGAAAATACAATTGAAATGTATGGGAAAGCAGGGTCCTAAACTCTGTGGAGGAGAGTAGCGCAGGCCACAGGCAGGAGTGGCCACGGTGAGGAGGGGGTGGGGGCTCTGCTGGCAGGAAGGCAGCGCCATTGGAGGACTGGTCTCTGCCAGGATTTTCCTGGAGGAGGAAGTCAGCGAGCATCACCGGGAGGGACTCAGAGGCCCGTGGCTCTGGCAACTTCGAGACTTTCTTCATCTGTGTTCTCATGGCAGCTTCTTTTCTCTCCTTTAACTAGTTCGGGTCGGTTTTCCACTTGCTGCTCATTTATTTATTTCCGGTGTTCTTCCATCGGATGAGTTGTCTGTCCTCCGGGCACCCAGTTTAACAAGAACATCTCTGCCTTCAAGGCCCTTGTTGCTGCCCGTCCTCCCCACCCAGAGGCTGGCAGGAACCCCCGACAGGCAGGTCTGGGAGGGCACATGACCTCTGCCCGGGGGAAGGTCAGCTCTAACCCAGCTCACATTTCGAGGGAGAGGAGTGGACTTCTGAGGCACATCAAGGGACTCTGTGCGATGGCGACAGCTGTTTTCTCAAATGTTAGGGTAAAAGTCTCCTTTTGAGTAGACGGAGCACCTGTCACTGCAGGCCATCGCGAATGACATCCATCAGAGCGAGGGAAAATGGGGTGTTGTCATTTCTAAGGGCCACCCATCCCCGGGGAGCTGAGCCAGGAACCAGCCTTCAGGTGCATTAAGAAAGAAGCCTGGTAGCAGCGTGACTGGGAAATGTGCGGCCTCCCAGAAGCCGCAAAGTGGCGCAAACTGCTGCTGGCACTGTTTTTAGCTACAGACATGTCAGCGCTGTCCAGGAGGAACCTGCTTTGGGTCGGTGGCTCCCCACCACAGCGCTGACATCTAACTCACAGCCTGGGTATGAGGTGAAGCCTTCTTTGTCCCCAGCCCAGGAATGGCATCCAACTGGCAAAGGGGGTCCGTCAGCTAGAGCAGCTCTCAGAAGCCTCCTGATGGGTGGGCCTCAGCACCTTCTTTGCACAGCACCCCCTAGAGCAGCGGTTCTCAGGTTCTCAACCTTCTGGCCCTTTAAATACAATTCCTCATGTTGTGACCCAACCATAAAATTATTTTCGTTGCTACTTCATCACTGTAATGTTGCTGTTATGAATCGTAATGTAAATATCTAATATGCAGGATGGTCTTAGGTGACCCCTGTGAAAGGGTCGTTCAACCGCCAAAGGGGTCTCGACCCACAGGTTGAGAACCACTGCCCTAGAGGATCAATATCGACATAGCAAACTGGAACTGGAACTGGTGTCTGGCTGCACAGCGGGACTCCTCATTCCATGGGGACAGTGCTCACATTTTAATGAAGTTCATGGGCTCAGGCCAGTTCACTGCCCCTAGAAAGAAAGGCTCCCCGGGGAGAATCGACATCATGAAAAGCAAGGCGAGTCCCTCCAGCTAACCCCCGACTCCCCTGGGGACAGATGCTAGGGGGGAACTGAAGCCAGACCCGGCTTCTCTGTGGTCACTGGTGCTGTGGGTCTGGCAGAGGAGAGAGGCATCCTGGGGTCCTACGGAGATAACACCTTCAGATAATGACAGAGCCGCTGCCCTCTGTGCCAGCCCTGCTGTGACCAGGGACAGGCGGGAGCGCTCCGTGCCCAACTCCATAGAAATAGATCAGATTGAATAACATTTTCCAGTTTACAACGCGCTTTCTCATCATTGTCTTGCTGCGCTCCACTTTCTATTTCCGCCAGAATATTGTCTTTCTCAGCGTGATGACTCTGATGCCAGCTATTTGCCCTAATTCATGTCCCCAGAGCCTGTTCCCAGATGTGTTCATCTTGACATTGTTTACTCTGCCCGCATCCTGCCCCAGCCAGACTCTCAACAGGCGCTGAAGTGTGCGACCAGGTTCCCCGAGATCCTCCACGCAGAAGGATTTGTTCCCCCCACAAGAATTCATTTTCCCCAAAACACAGACTCAGCTTCCAGGCTGGGCAGACAGGTCATTTCAGGGAAAGGGACATGTTAGCTTAATGCCCATTCTCTGAAAAAGAACATTCCAGAATTTTTCAAAAGAAGAGGGTTGGTCTTGTGATTTCTGTGTAGACATGCCATCGCAATAGGAATTGCTGCTAGCGACCCCTACAGTGGAAGATAGGGCCTCACCCACCCCTTCAACAGCTTTCTCCTCACCCTCTTCCTCTACCCAGTAATAGAATCCATGGCTCTCACAAGTGTGTCTAACTGCTTTCCTCACTAGCTACCTGTGGCACTTCTGTCGTGGCCCCCACCACCAGCATGAGCCCTGCGGCATATGGGACTGCCAGGGCGGGTTATCCCAGAGACTGTCCCGGCTCTGTGGGGTCATATCCTCGGGCGTCTCTAATCCCTCCCAGACCAATTGCTAGGATACTCTGCACATCACCTCTCTCAGGCCTCCAGAGCCCAGGGATTCAGAATGATCCCTGGTTCTTGTTTCCCATTCACAGCCCACAGGCAGGTATTATGTGCAGAATGCCTCAGACTCTCAGGGGAAGAATTTATTGCCCAGGTGCTTGAAGAGCATTGTGGGTGTTTTGTTTGTTTATTTTCTTCAAACCCCTCAGGTTGTCCTTCTCTTTGAAGTTTGAGTTGTTCATTTTCATGGTTGTCGTCATCACCATCACCATTTCCATTTCCATTATCATCATCATTGATGTCAATTAAGTCCACACTTCTGAGCACGCGCTCCGTGAATGTCACGCAGTTGGGACAGTGTGTATTTTGGAGGCACTTGCCTTCAGAGGTGTTAGATGTCTTCACAGTGCCACATGGGCCTCCAGGCACCTACAGAAAATAGAGACATAAATCACAGTCATTGTGCGTGAACTTGCTGTGTCGTTGAGGGGGGAAGGTGGGCATAATGTCAGAAGGCGGGATGAGATGATCACTAATTCCAGACTCCACTTCCTGTGAGAAAAGTATAACCGTCTCTTTTGTTTGTCTCTCTCCTTCGTCGCAGGCTGGCTGAAGGAAAGAAGGGGGTGAAAGTGGAGAACAGACCCTTCCTCTCGAAGCTCATCTTCTTCAATGTCTCAGAGCACGACTATGGGAACTACACGTGTGTCGCCTCCAACAGGCTCGGCCACACCAATGCCAGCATCACACTCTTTGGTAAGATGAGCCCTGAGCTGGGCAGAAAGGAGCGGGTCAGGCAGAGCAGGAGGAGTTGGGAAGAGAGGCCCAGAGGGAAAGGAGAAGAGAATCAGGAGTAGTGAGGCAGTGGTGAGGGAGAAGAGGAAGGAAGGAAGGATGAGAGAGAGCGAGAGGGAGAATTTTTAAAAAGAATGCTCATGTTTCATTCTATAATGGGAAAAATCCTGAGACAGGAGAAAAGGATTTGGTGATGCTGAAATGACATTTAATTGTTTTTCTCCTCAATGATCTCTCTTAAACTGAGGATGGGGACTATGATTGGGTAGAACAGTGAAGAGCCAGGGAGGAACATTTACTGTATCAATGCTTTGTTCACCGAATTCGTGTGAGATGGTAACCACTTCTGAAACTTTTTCTGGCCATTGGGACATGAGAGAAACGGAATTCTATGTATAGAAGTGGAATCGTGGGCCTGAATTGGGATCCTGAATACTAATAGTTTCAGGGGGAGAATAAGCAGAGACTATGGGGATTTCTCTAGTGTCCATTTGTATCAACACGTGTTGTCTGGCTGGATTAAGGAATATGTGTGCAAGGAAGCCGCCATCGTGACAGAGTGACATAGTCATTCATGCATCGATTCATTCAACAATGACTTAGCGAAGGGCTCATAGGTGCAGGACAAATGGCTGGGCAGTATTGCACATTGGCGATGCTATTGGTGCCAGATGGAAGCAAGCGAGGCCAATGAACCAGCCCCCCTATGGGGCCAGTGTCTCCTTCTGTGAGCAGAGTAGCTGCCCAACGTGTCCTGGAGGAGTGTCTGCCGTGTCAGGCTCCTGGGGAGGTCTTCCTCCCCTCAGTAGTTGCAGATTCTCCTTATGGGCCCCAGGGTTCATTCCTCCTTGCTTTGGGGGCTGTTCCCTCCAGACCTCACCAAGTTCAGGGAGCGCATTTTTTCCAATCTCTACCCCTTCAGCCTCCCATGCAAACACACACTCTCCAAGGGGATGAGGAGAGAAAGATGAGGAAGTTAGCAGGTGATTGGCAAGAACGTAACTCCCTTTCGTTTGGAGAACTCCCAGATAATCCCATAGCTTCACGTACCTCGCCCGCTTCCCCTGGCTCGGCCTCCTGCCCTCCATGCACAGTGTACCCAGCTTGCCCCTAATAGCCCGTGTGTACCGCCCATCGTCCTGCCTCTGCTTCCAGATCACATCCGATCTTCCTTTCACCCAGCGCATGACATGAAGCCCAGCTTTACCCAAGAGGGCTGGGAAGGGCGAGGCCGCCCTCGATCCCAGAGCTGGTGCTGGGAATGGACGGCGGGCGCTGTGATGCGGGTGATTGATCTGTCTGACATCCCTCACACAGGGAGAGTCATAATTGCCTCTCGCGTTTGTCAGGCCTTTGTGGCTCTTTGGCAGGTGTCTGTCTGCATGAGCAGAAGGGCCAGGATTAGAAAGGAAGGCGCCCCTCCTCCCCTTGCTCTGCAGATCTCAGGCTCTCCCTGGCTCTCCTGCCCGCCGCCCCAGTGCTCTCTCCACCCTCAGTGGTCCTTGTCCCCCAGTCTCCCTCCACCTCTGACCTCCCTCTTCTGATTTGGATGCATGCAATGGTGTTGCAATTGGCTTCATCGCTCCTACGTAATCCCCTGGCTTCTTCCCCTTAAGATGAGAACAGGAAGAAAAAGCAAACTTTAAAAGTGAAGTAACTGTCATTTGTGATAAGAAGGGCAGTGCAGGATGTGTCCTGAATCCGCTCTTTTCAGCAGACCCCAGTGAGACAATTAAACCTCCGCCCCCACCCCCCTACCCCCCACCCCCACCCCCGTCCTGCCGTCGTTCTGTGGGCATTCACCCCCTGTGGCATTGGGGGCATTCCTACAATTTCCAGCTTCCCGCAGCCCAGGGTTCTCTTTGAAGAACACATTAAAAATGGTAGCAGGTGTTGACACACGTGCAGAGAATCTGGGTCAAGCACCGATGCTTGGAGCACACACAGGTTGCTCTTCAATGCAAGAGGTCTCGGGGCCTTTACAGGCTAAATCTCGAGGGAGGAAAGTCTGTAGCATCTTCCCCATTGAATCAAGCAGACGCCAGTATTTTAGTCTCTAAAGAGAGACGGTTTCGGAGGAGCCCACCACACAAATGCTGCAGGGG